CCGTGCCCGTGGCGAGCACGGGGCTGGCAGCTCACGGCTGTTTCTCTCTCGCAGGCGCGGATGGGGAGTCTGGCGGCTCGGGCACAGGTACGGTGTGGGACCAGGGCGGGGTGGACGGGGTGGCCCCAGGTCTCCGTGCTCCCCCGTGGGACCAGAGCAACACCAGGCTTGCGGAAGGGGTTCACCGAGGACCCCGGAGCAGAGAGCTGGGGACGACAGGGCCACCCTGGGTGACACTGTCTCCTCCTCCTCCCGTCCCTGCAGCCATCACCGCCTAACGACTCCACGAGGGACCGGCACGTGGCTGGATGCGGCCCCCTGCCCTCTCACCGGCTGGACGCAGACATGTGCCGGAGGAGGCTGGGAGCTGCCTGCAGAGAGAGCTTGTCACACTGCGCCTGCCCACCCCCGGCTACGGTGGTGGCTCTTCTGGCTGGGTGAACTCCCCATTTTCCGATGCTTTTAAAATTGAGCACCACAATTATTATTGATTTTTTTTTTGTGGTTTTATTTCTTTGTTTGTTTGGGGTTTGTTTTTTTTTTTTTTTTTTTTTTTTTTTTTTTTTTTTTAATTTTGAGGTTGTAATGGATTTCTGAGGTTGTAATGGATTTCTTTTACGTGTGTACGTTTCCTGGGTCGCACAATAAATGCTGGTCCCCACCCTGCGGCGGGCTGCGCCTCCTCTCCCGGTGCCTGGGCTGCTCTCGCAGCCTCGGGTCGAGGGCTGTGCTGGTTTTGGCTGGGATAGAGTTGATGTTCTTCATAGCAGCCCGGCACGGTGCGGTGTTTTGGATTTGTGACCAAAACAGCGTTGGTAGCACAGCGGTGGATCTGAACAGCGTCGGCACAGCGTCAAGGCCGCCTCTATTTCTCACTCGCCGCCCCCCCCCAACCGCCCCCGAATCCCAGCCCCGCCTCCGAATAGATGGGGGTTGCGCAAGAGGTTGAGAGGGGACACAACCGGGCAGGTGACCCAAACTAGCGAGAGATGTTCCAGGCCATATCATACCGTACTCGAGGATAAAAAGGGAAAAGAGGGGGCTGAGGGGGATCGGCCAGCTTTTCGTTGGGACCTGGCTGGTCATCCGTACCCCCGTGGCAGGTGGCGAGCTCTGAGGCCAGGCAAATGGGCGCTGAGAAGGTCTCCTGGTCTGAGGTCACACGCACTGACGTGGAGAGGGTCTCTTGCTCCGAGGCCACGCGGACGGGCGCTGAGAAGGTCTCCTGGTCTGAAGCCGCGCAAACTGTCACTGCGAAGAAGGTCTCTTGCTCTGAAGCCACACAAGCAGGCACTGAGGGGAAAGTCTCCTGCTCTGAGGCCATGTAGACGGGCGCCGAGACGAACGTCTCCTGGTTTGAGGTCACACAAACGGTCACTGCGACTAAACCAGGGACTCGACTCTGAACTCTAATAGTTCCTCTCGCAGCCAAGGAGACGCAGTGGAAGTCCACAGAGTGGACCCTTCCCCTGAGGGGGCAGAGGCAGAAACGACCTGGTCCCTATCCCTGAGCGGGCTGCGAGATACAGGGAGCGATTTCGTCCATCAGGCAGGTGAAGACGTTTGCTCCCTGGTTGCTCCCATGCTGGGGCGGTGGGGCTGACAGGCTGGAACCAGAAGGTAGGGAAGCCCAGCAGCTGGGATCCATTGCTAGGACTGAGGGATTGATGGATGGGAAGAGGGGCAGCCACCCACAGCCTCTGGAGGTGGCTCTTGTTGAGCGTGAAGGCAAAGTATCCTCTCGCGGAAGATCCTGTAACCCAGCGAGGTGAGTGGTCTACCAGCGAGGAAGGTATCCAGTACCTGAGGGCATTTGTAGCGGTCTGCAGTGGCACGGACAATAATCGGGCCCCCAAATACCGGGATGGCATCCAGCGCGCACAGTCCGTGTGGCGGATGTTTGTACGGAGCACACCGACGTGCGGCAGCAACCCGGCCGTGGTGGACTGGGCAGACGTCGAGGCGCCAACTGGCCATGGAGTGGTCCGCCAGCTCCAGCGATTCAAGGAGAACTTCTGTTCCCCCTTCCCACCACGGGGCTTTGTCTCCGCTGCGGACAGACCGTTCCCCGAGGTCCGGCCACTCGAAGAGAAGGTGGAGAATCTCCCTCCTTGCGCCTACAGGGCAGCATCTCAGCTACCAGGAGCCTGCTCAACGCAACGGGGACCGTGGGCGCACGCCGCGTGCCACCTGGTAGGGTTCTGTCTGCGTGACCATGGGGAGGACACGAGGAAGTGGGACGTTGCACCTACCTCGCTCCTGGAAGCCCACGTACGAGAATTGTGGGGAAAAAACAGCAGTGAAAGGGGATGATCCAGGCCGATTGCTGCGGCAGTTGCTGTCGAGCAATTCCCCAGGGCTGAGGACACATCTCCTCCTCCTGATTCTGATCCAGTGGACGTACGTCCACATGGGGTCGAACCTCACACCCAGCACCATGCAAAGACTATGCCGGACCACAGTAGGCTCGTACCCGTGACTAGTCCTTGTAACGTAGCCTGGGCGAGAGAGATGTGGGCTCCTCTCAGGGTGAAAAGACTTCTGGTTTGCAATTACAGGAATCGGGTAACGAATGCTCTGATCAGAACTAGGGCTCCTGCCTCCGGCCGGGCAGAGGAAAGGGACAAATGGATTCAGTGGCCTGGCACGTCAGACCCATGGGAATATAAGGCCCTGGTGGACACCGGTGCACAGTGACCCCTAATGGCATCGGGGTACAAGGGGATAGGACACATCTGGGTTTCCGGGGTGATGGGGGGATCCCAGTCGCTGTGGTGGGAGCTGAGGGGAGCCCAACGGGAAACGAGTGGGAGAAGCGACCAGTCCGGAGGCTCCGTGTATCCCTGGCATTGACTTGAAAGTAGGATGCTTCAAAGAAGTAAAGATAGTTCAAGGATCCAAAGGGGCACCGGTGGGCCACTGTAGACACGGAGAGGTATTGCACAGCAGTGTGCCCAGGCGGCCAAGAAGGCCAATGGCATCTTGGCTTGTATCAGAAATGGTGTGGCCAGCAGGAGCAGGGCAGTGATCGTGCCCCTGTACTCAGCCCTGGTGAGGCCGCACCTCGAATACTGTGTTCAGTTTTGGGCCCCTCACTACAAGAAGGACGTCGAGGTGCTGGATGGTGACTCAGCCCCTTCCCTGGGCAGCCTGTTCCAATGCTTGACAACCCTTTCAGTGAA